CAAAGTGGTCTCCGTATGAGTCAAATGGAACGGCGACGCATTGACAATTCAAATTGGACAGCAGCTTTGCAGGCAATTCGCCCTGCAATCTACATGCGTCCCCCCACACCGGCATGCCTGGATGAGATTGCATTTTATACACAAAGTCCTTCACTTTGGAAGACCCTTCATATTCACCCACAATCTAATAAAGTCCCGAGGTTTACAAGTGTGCTGAAGAATTCACTTCAAACTTTCTTAAACATGGAACAATAAAATGGAAATTACCTTAATTATTAAAGGAACAGCTCACTCCGAAATTAAAAATCTACTGAAAAAGCTATTTTTTCAAAGACAGTTCATAATGACTCATTAAAATGGTCTATACACGCCATATATAATATATGTAGGCCTATGTAGCATGGTTCTCATGCATCTTTGGACAAAATCAGTGTTGTTAATGTTAAACTAAACTTATTATAAAATTAAAACTATCAGTTGAAGGTCAACCAAACAACCCAATTCAGGCATTTTAGGGGATGTCTATTACCCTTATTCATTGAGTTGTTGTGTTAGCTCTGTATAGCCTAAAAACTAGCTTAAGGTATAAGATGGACACTGGGAAAAGAAAGAGTGAATTGAACAATGCACTATGTACCAGGCATGCCCTTAACATATGCAATTTGTTTTTCTGCGCTTGCCGAAGGGATAACGTCGATCTCTGACCCCACTGCAAACTTAAGCAGGTCCCCCGATGCCCGGCCTTCATGAATCTTTTAGGCAGAGGGAGTCTGGAGTTCAAAGTTTCTGTGAACTCAAGAAATAATAAGCTGCCTGATTAGCGTTGCTAAAAATACCAGCATGGCCAAAAGGAGCCAGGTGGTAGGAGAGGCCTCCGGCCTATTTGCATGTTCAGAGACACAGAGACACACCATACAATGAGAGGGGCCCTGGTGCTTTTTACTGTGACACCAGCCCCTCAACACACGATTTTATGTACAGTAAACATATCTTACACATATCTTGTCTCGTACTGTGCCTTTCTTCTGCCAAATCATTTTTGCTACTGTTCGGGAAAAGAAAAGCGAATGCTGTTGCATCAACAATATTCAACAGCTTCACTTTTCCCCTGCAGTACACTGGATTAGAAACTGTGATGTCAATCATGAACTGTATCAGTCACCATATTGTTGTTCACACACCCACACAAATGCAACGAGAAAGGAAATATACACTTTTGCTTTTATTCTCCTTTCTATTAACAATACTGTTGCTCCACTTTTCATCTCAAAATAGACATAAAGCCAACATAATATAGTAATTACATCCATTATTTATTGTAATATACTTGGATTCAGACTCGGTTTCAGATCAGTGTTATTTTAGTATCATTGAGTTATGTTAATAGTTTTTATTAACAGTTTGAATTAGTTTTCATTTTTGTATTTTCTACTTTCATTTGTATTTTTGTTAAAGCTTTAATTGTTCTGCGTTTTTGTCATTTAAATTTTTTTAATATGTCTATGAATATAGTTTTTGTTTTATTTTTATTATTTCAGTTTTAGTTTAAGTTATCTGATTACATCAAATTAAACTAAATCAAATTGACAAATATTGTCTTGGAAACGATCTTAAATAAAATAAGCTTTATTTTAAAAAGTAACAAAAATGTGTTTTCCTGTGTTGACAATGCATTTCCATTTGAACGGATCATCTGTTTGTTTTTGTTTTTTGTTTAATAGCCATATTATTGCCATGATTTATTACTTACAAGTCGGTTGCATGCAGCGTAAGGGGGCGGGACGTTCTCCTTCAAGAGAGCATCTGATTGGACAAAAATCTGAGTAATGCAGGATGAGTCATCACCGCTCCATTTTCTGAAAGAGAAAAACATTTTAAATATTTATATCCAATAAAAGTGAATTTAGTCAACATTTAGGTGTAGACCAGCACATAGATGACATCAAAGCTCCCCAAAAAACAGTAATTTTGATATCATACTGACTTTAAATTTGCCTTTTACAATACGGCAATGTTGTTTTTGGTCAGGGTAACAAGAGGAGGACAAATTCTTAATTTGTTCACATCAGAGAGACTTTAGTGGGAGAAAATGTGGAATTGCTTGGATGAAAGTCATTTGTTTTCCTGCTCCAGAGATCTGCCACTCGAGCAGACGGCATCAGCCGAGATATTGCGTTAAACTCTCAGTACCCCGCCATACACGTTTTCTCCTCTCCTTTTCCCTCTCTCTCATCCTGTTTTATATTTAACTTCAACCTGTCAATTAAAGAGTGAGAGGGCAAAGAGGAAATAAGAGAGACAGGGAAAGAGAGACAGCAAGAAGCACAGAGCTAATTAGGCAACTGTGTAATTTTAATTAGCTGTTTTGATAATTAAACTAATTAGTTCCCCTGTGTTTCCACTACGTGCTACCGACTGGAGTTTTTTTCTTTTTACAACACGGCTTCAGAGCTCCACTCCGTTGGTTAATTAGTCACTTTTGCATCAGAAAGCTTTATTGATAGCCTTAATTTGCAGTTGAAATGAGAAATCTGCTGTCAATAATTCGGATAATTGCCTGCCGTTTGATTGTGGAGAACAAAAGTGGCAGGCCTTTGAGTTTGAAGCTGCTGGAAACCCCTCGGGTCGTTTCCTGGATGCTTAGCTCTCCGTCCGATCTACATACCAGCAAATAACACTGCCGTCCGCAACATCTCGTCCCCACTAACAAGACGGGATTCCTGCCAAATAAGGAACGCTTTGACCCGCCCCACCTACGTTTCCCATCATGCTCTCCTCTTCTCGTCTGCCTCAGCCCTCCTCCCCTCTCCTCACACCCAGTGTCCTACGTTCGCGGTAATTGAGGAAGGAGGGTGGGGGGAGAGAGACAGAAAGTTGCAGCTTTGCTTTGTAGCTAATTAGTGTCCTTGGAATTAAATGAGCAGCTCTTTGTGCACCTCCAGCTCCTGCGGCCCATGTTTGTGAATTGAATAATTGATTCCCCTCCACTAATCAGAGAGCGACATAATGAGCCAGTTTAATTAAATGGGGATCTAACCTGGCAAACACTGGGAAAATATTTGCTCGTTTACAGCTAATCAGAAATAACAGAGCGAGATGGTTCGGGGGGTGGGGGCTGGAAGACGTGAACCAAGAAGAACCAAGAAGAAAAAAACCAAGAAGAACGTGCGTGATTGTGTGCTTCGAGGAGGGGAATCTTAAAATGGTGCATGTTGCTGAAGGAATATATGAGAAAATTCGATGCTGGGTTTGACGTTTTTTAAACGTTGGGGCCTAAAGTGAGGAAAACTTGAGATATATTATGTATCTTTGACTTCTCTTCTGGTATTTTTGAAGGCCTTGGGCCATGGGATGATGGTAGCAGATTGACCTTTCCTTATCATATGTGCAACATGCTGACACGTCCCTCGTGGGCAGCACCCCAGGACGAGGTCAAGATAGCCGAGGTACCCCTGAGCATTGAACTCTCAGCCTCTTCTCACCTCCTTGATGTGCCACTAGAGGCACCACTTACCCTCAAAGGCTTGTGGATCCTACAGAGCTTTAAGTACGCTAAGATAAAATAATGGTGGCTCAAAGGTATCTATGGCCAGCCACCAACCGGGTGATGGAGATGGATACAATTTGTTAAAAAAAACTAGTCTGGGATTTTAGCCTGCCACAATCTGAAGGATTAAAAAGTGTGTTGCAGGATTTTTTTGGGCTGCACTGTAATAGGGCTCAATTTGTGAAAATTAGTCAAAGAAAATTAGGTCATTTTTATGAGGCATTTATCAACTTAATGTTAACAAATTGAACCTTATTACTGACTAAAATGTCGTCAAGGTTTTTGAGATGATGCAACTTGACTAGTGTACAGGATTTGTATTTTTCTAGTTTATACACTCTTAAAAATAAAGGTGCTTCACGATGCCATAGAAGAACCTTTTTGTCTAAATGGTTCCATAAAGAACCTTTAACATCTGAAAAACCTTTCTGTTTCACAAAAGGTTCTTTGTGGCGAAAGAAGGTTCTTCAGATTATAAAAAGGTACGAAAGAGATGGTTCTTTAAAGAACCTTTGACTGAATGGTTCTTTGTGGAACCAAAAATGGTTCTTCTATGGCATCGCTTGAAGAACCTTTTGAAGCACCTTTATTTTTAAGAGTGTACTGTTAAATTAAAAAAAAAAAAAAGGTGATGATATAGAGAGTCCAAAATAACTCTCACCAAGTGCCAAATGATTGTTTGAAAAAAGAAGACTTTTGTGCCCGTTAACTTTAAAGGAACAACAACATGATACATCCTACATACTGAACAACATCTGTCGAGACTTGTGCATCTTCTAACAATTTATAATCTCAATGGGAAAGTTATGTAGGACACTTATATTTTTTTTCTCTCTCTGTGCCAAAAGGAAATGAACAAAACCATAGTTTCTTTATCACATTTTTGTACAGGAGCAGTTTTACAGAATGGCGGACACAGTGACCTGTGCTGTTCGTAACAAATATATCCAAAGAAATTAAGGAGAAAAATCCCTGTGATGAGTACCTGAATAAATAAATAAAATAATAAAATAAATATTTCATATACTTGGATTTTATCCATAAGTAAAGCTCTTTCAGATCTGTGTTATTTCATTGAGATATGTTAACAGTTTTTAGTAATAGTTTAAATTCGTTTTTATTTTTATATTTTCTTCGTTCATTTAAATTTTTGTTAAAGCTTTAATTTGTTCTGCGTTTTTGTCATATTATACGTATATAGTTTTTAAATTATTATTTCAGTTCTAGTTTTAGTTATTGTAGTACATCAACTGAAAGAAAATGATAAATGTTATCTCGGAAAATATCTGAAATAAAATAAGCGTAATTTTGAAAATAATTATTAAAAAAAAAATTCCAAGTAAAAAAAAAGTGTGTTTTCTGTGTTGGCGATGCATTTCCATTTGAAAAGATCAGCTGTGTTTTGTTTTTGTTTTTTCTAATAGCCATGCTACTGCCATGAATTATTACTTACTAGTCGGTTGTATGTGGCATAAGGGGGCGGGCCATTCTTCTTCAAGAGAGCATCTGATTGGACAAAAAATCTGCTTAGTGCAAGATGAGTCATCACTGCTCCGTTTTCCTGAAAGAAACCCCAAAGCTACCAAAAAAACAAAACAAATTTTATATCATGTTGGCTCATGTTGGAAATTAATGGGGAAAATCCCTGATGAGTACCTAACTAAATAAATAAAATAATAAAAATAATTATTTAAAAAATAAAATAAAATATTTAGTAAATTGCAATTTTATTACTGCATTTTATTGCTGCCATCTGCTGAATTTTTAGTTTCCAAATACAACGTGCCCTAAACGTCACGACAACCTCACATGTTGGTCGTTTGCAGCACGGCTGGATTTGTGTTGATATTAGTTTACTAAAAACACATCAGCACTATAAGAGGGCCGCCGTGGGACAGAAATGGATCATTGAAAGAATACACACTCATCCTGCCCCAACCTCCTCGCCCTCCTCAGCCCCCCAATGAAAAATGAAATACTGCATTGAAATTCCACACCAGAGGAAGGATAGAGAGAAGCTAAAGCTTTGAAGCTCCAGCCTGTCAGTCTTTTTTGTGTTTTTGTGTGTGTGTATGAAAGAGAGCGAGCGAGCGGATGAGTAAGAGAATTCCATGTTCTAGTGCTTTCTCTCCTTCTCTTTCTTTTTCTCTATCCCATTCCTCTGTCTCTCTCTGTCCCTTTCTACCTCTCCCACCACTCGATTCCACAAGCCCCTATTTTTTCCACCTCTGTCATTCCCAAGAGCCTGCACAAATCAGCAACACAGATTTGAAAAAAAAAGTTGGGTTTGTGGACTTTGGAAAGGAAAAGGAAAACATTCCTTTGCTTTTGAACTTGCCAAGCAGCAAAAACCACACCTTGGCCGTATCCCAGTTGTGTCCGATGAAGAGAACAAGAAAGGGTGGAAGAAGAATTAGGAAAGAAAGGTAAACAAACAACATGCAGCACTGGTCAACGAGGACAACCTGCTTTCCTTTAAACTCTGCATGAAGCACCTGAAGTTTACAACATCACTTCCTAGGGGAAGGATTGTGTTTTTTTCTATCTTCTACTTTACGTTATCATTTTTAAACTTGCTTCTCAAATCCAGGATTGGCATTTATTCATTCCGGAATAACTTAATGTCATTTATTTTAATTATCATCCATCAATAAAGAGTCATTTACTCACCCTAATGCCATTCCAAACCCCATGTACTTCCATACAGTATTTCTTTCATAAAACACAAACTGAGAAGTTTTGATTCTTTGTATTGGTTGCTCTCTTTCACATCAGAGGGTTTCAAACTTTTTGATGCCATGGACCTTACAATGATGAATTACTTGTGATGGACCCCTTCCTAAAATCTGTAAGCAAGCATAATTTTGGCATTTTAAAAAAACTGTGTGAAAAATATATTAAGGTTGATATATTATCAAGAAGATATGTCTCAAAACTTTTAAATATTACATACATTTAGTTTTTACATTCAAAATAAAAAAGCTGAACCCAAAGTGAATCAGTAAAGTTTTATCCAGAAAACATTTACTCATTGACATTTATTTGCTTGTATTAAATATCACATATATAATCAACAGATTTTTAAACGTTTTATTTATTATATATTATATATATTTTATTATTTGTTTTTTATATTCAAAAACCCAAAAGCCATAGCTACTTGGTAAAATTTTATCTGGAAAGTATTTACTAATTTATTACTATTTTTATTTATAATTATATATTTGATTAATATTTCAAGTCAACACAGTGTTGACAACCCTAGATAGAATATATATATATATATATATATATATATATATTTTTTTTTTTTACAAAATTTACTTTTCTTATGGTCCATACGACTTGTGCACTATATTCCCAGTCGACAGACAATAATTTAGTGTGAAAAGCATGCGTTTGGTACTGAAATAACCCAACAGTATGCAATTAAGCACTTAGAAGTGACAACCATATTTACATGCAACCTGAACCTGGCTGATGATGACCTTCAGCTGCTTGAAGAAATATCATCTCTCATTCTAACCGTACCACTGGGGATCTATCTCGACGCTCAGGTCCACGTGAGAGCCAAATCCACCGTCTATCCTCCATCTTTACTAGAGAGAGGCGCGTGTACGAGATGAGACACTGTGGCTGAATATCAGACAGACAGAGGAGGATAACGAGCCTCATCCTTGCCGTTCATTAGCGCAGAGAACTCCCTAGCCTCGAGGGATGGGATAATTCCCACGGTAACCATTGCACATTCTTAACAAGCATCTACGCTGAACATGCTCTGAGTGAGCGCTGCAGCTAGTCCACCTGATTTGGCGGGTCCAGCCCACAAGTGTGTGCTTGGTTACATGAGAATGATTAGCAGAGTCTTATGGGACACTTTGAAGCCCCCGCTGACACCGCTTGCTCATGTTTGCAAACAAACACAGAGCCTTCTTACAGAAAATAAGGTATTTAGCAGCCACTGAGAGTTCTTAGTTGTGTAACTCTTTAAATATGGTGTCTGACTAGCATTAGCCGTTCCAATTCATCCCAAAGGGTTCAAGTCTGGGATTTGTGTAGTCCAGGTCAAGTTCTTTCACTCCAGATGCTGTTTCAATTTCTTTAAGACCTGAAGTGTTTGTCTAAAGAGTTGTATGCTTGATTTTATGCACCTTTTAGCAATTAGCAAGAGGCGTCCATGTAGTTTTGGTCACGTAGTGCTGCTAATTTCTTCGCTGTCACCTTTTTGTGTGATTTTGTGCTCGTGAAAGAAAACACTAGGATTATTTAACCTCAGGAGTGTGTGTTTTCTGGGCGAAGGCCTTGAAGAGAAGCACTAACATTCGTTTGCCACTTTGAAGGGGCAGCCATTACTAATCGCTAAGAAATGTCCTTACTACCTGAGGGCCTGTCTGGTTGTAAATGAAAAGGAATTAAGAAGAAATCCATACGTTTTTACACCCAACCCCCTTCCCTCGAGTTTGCTCTCCCAGCTTGCGCACACTAGATGCGTGCACTATCATTAGCAGACCAAATTAAACATTAGCTCTTCGGCTGCCGGTAGTTTGGGCTAATTGCTAATCAGCAGTAAAAGTTGCCTGGCACGGAATATTGCTTACCATAAGCTAAAGGTAATTTGCTGCTTGAGACAAGCTAGGCCAACTTGTCTGTTGTTGTCCAGAGTCCGTTCCTAATTACTGCCGGAGGGCGATGACAGTCATTCAATGGAGATTAAGACTGAGGCGAAAAAATGGAAATGCGCCATAATGCAGGAATGAGCTAGAAATGCTTCTGTCTGCTTTTCTTTAATTTCCCCACTCTCGCTCTGTTTCCCTTCTGCACTCTGTTTATTACCAAGAGGGATGGATTCTCGCATGGCAAATCGACAGCAGGGAAGCTTGTTGATAGCCAAAGTGTCCGTTGAAAAGCTCCATCTTGAACTGAGCTTAGATCATCAAAAGATTCCTTGAGCTCTGGGTAATTGGCACGACACTTACAGATATATGCAGTTATATAGGGCACATATAGCACACTGCACGTCATTTTCAATCTTTTCATTTGACAAAAATGTTTTACATATCATTTAGAAAGTATTTCTCAATTTAGGGAGGAGCTACAGTAATTATAGTCCCCTGTAGTCAGACAAAAGGTCTGAGAACCTTGGCCAGGGAACCTTTGAATGGCCAAGACCTGCCCAAGAGGCCACATGACTGAGAGGTAAAGCAACCAATCATGTTTCGTTTTGTGTCGCGTCATGTTTAGGGGCGTGGAAATGTCGCCACAATAACAGACAGTAAATAAAACTCTTGGACATATTTGAAAGATTCTATGCTTTAAATATCTCACTTACTTTTGTCCGTGGCTATGACGTCTGAGGCTGAGGCTACAGTAATTAAAACAAAAGTATATTTTTGTGAATCTTAAGTGAATCAGTTTGCTCACATAATTCATGTAAACAAATGATTCACTGACCAAATAAAAGATTCACCAATTGAATAAAGAATTATTCAAATCATTTAAGTTTTTGTGACATTTTTTGAAGTGAGCCGTTTTTTAATTTAAGTTAAACGAATTTATATATAATTTTGGGTAACACGATATTCAGTTAGTTATATGCAGTGGTGCACATAAGTGGTCCGCAGGTTCGCATGCGTGATCAAAATAAAAAATGCACTGTGTAAATAAGTTAATTTGCGTACTGACATGGTTGGCAGCTGTTAATACACAATTACCGTTTTAGATTGACAAACTGTATTGTATAAGATTTCTATTCAAACTGAAAGCATAAATCTAGGCTACCCACTGCTGTTTTCAAAGCACACTGCAAAACTGTGATATTTCATTCACTGACTGACGCTTTTCAATTGGCACCAGCAGCGCTAAACACGAAATTAAATATTTAAAAAATTTTCTATAAAATAATTGTATTTGTATGTAATACTCCCTTTTATTTTAGAATATAATAGTATAATCACACTATATAATCTTATTTAAAAAAAGAACTAAATAAAGTGCAATAAGATTATCACTATTATTAATTTATTTTTTATAGTTATATTTAATGGGTCACACTATGTGCAGTGTGAGGCCCAAACCAAATCTCCAGGTTGAAAAACTTATGGGCACCCCTGGTTATATGCATATATGCTGGATATGGTTAACAGCATATAAGTTATTCATAATTAAACATTTTTCTGAATATTTTCATTTGATTTAAAAAAATGTATATTGGTATATTTTGTCATGTTTATTCCTCTACAATTAAAATAAATCTAACAAGCTTTTCTTAAAGCTCTGGAATCTCATATTTTGAGGTCTGATTCATTTTAATGCATCAGTTTGTTCAGTTGAGTTAGGTAAACACATGATTCCCTGATCGAATAAAAGATTCACCAATCCTATAAGCAATTCTTCAAATCATTTAAGTCTTTGCGTCATCTTTTCTGAAGTAAGCCTATTTGGTAAAATTATTAAGTTTATAATTTTCAGAATGATATAAATTTGTTTTCAGTTTTATTAGCAGTATGTAAAAATTCATCCTGTTATCCTAATTTCAGATCCTTACAGTTAAAAAGCTTCAATGTATTTAGCAAATTATTTTGTTAGCACCTTTTAGCATAGCTACCTTTTGTTTTTAAAGTGTAACCCAGCTGATAACCAAGATGATACTTTTATAAGAAATTGCATATTTATGCTAGTTATGTACTGTATTATCGCTACAGATCATCCATGATGTTCGCAGATGAAAGTTGCGCTTTTTCCCACCGTGTTCCCATCAAGTGCCACATCATCCTGTTTCTGATTGTCTCAGTGTCAGCCAGCCCGGCTCAGCTGATGTCCCACAGGACATAAATACAGGATAAAATCTGAGTCTACAGCTATCATAATTAATAATCACCCACCCACAGGCTTCTCAGCCTAACCTTCAAAATCCAATCCAGCTCGTCTTCTGATCCCCGGATTGATAGATGTGCATGTTTCCCGCACGCGCACACTGTAAATATGTATGTACTCATAAACTCAAACAACATTCGTCCCTTTCATCTGCAGGTTCGCCGTACGGGGAGGAAAAGACACATGTGTACAGATACACACTCGCGCACTTTTATCTAATGTCAGATATCAAAATGTCAAACCATCGGTTGGGGGGAAGGGGAGGGCGGAGCGGGTAGTCGTGGATGTCTCACACCCCCTGGTCGAATCCCAGTGCAGCCCGATCAATACATCGTTATAGATCTTAATCACGTGAAGCGTATAATCGCCTAAAACCTATCAATTATAGAGAGTGAGATAGCTGGGCCGCCAAATCCTGGCCTGCAGCCTCCTTCCTCCTTGGATTAGGATCTGAGATTGGGTCAGGATCATAGGAGCCGCGCCCTGCCCGGCCAGATAGCACATTAATGACCACTCCAGGGGCAGCTGTCTCTCAGGCTGCAGTCTGGCAAAATAAATAATAAATCATTTAGGCTGGAGCTGACATAATTACCAACTAAGAAGCTCGGCACAGGCCAGCGAGGCCAGTAACAATGGCAGAGGAGAGAGCGATAGGCCCCTGATTAGCTCCTCTTTCTGCACACATGAAGCTCGGCTTCTCTCTTTACAATATCCGTCTGCCTTTTCTGGCTTTCTGAAGTTTATACACAAGATCACGGAGTGCTGCACTTTTGGATGTCTGCATCATTAGTGGCACCAAACAGAATTCCAAAATAATGACTGTTTAATCAACAGGTTTCACATTCGCTAATGGCGGGAAACTGCGACACGACTGATGATGGCAGCAATGGCAACATGATGGAGGTAGTATGTACAGCTGCATTCATACTACATGTACCCTCATAAAATATGCTTTATTAGCGGTCGAAAGGTAAGCCCATGCAGATCTCTCTGACAGTACGTGATTTCAGGTTCAACTACAGTGTAGAAGATGAATCACTTGGAAAAAAATAAATGCAAGAAATTGGAATGAATGGCAGATGTACAAAGTCCTGATTTCAGTTTAAAAAAAGCCTTTTTGATAGAGACGTTTTTATATTAGCTCGACCAGAAAAACCTAAGTTGTGATACCTCAAACTGTCCTTGAGACGTCTTTCTTTCCTCACTCAAGTAAATATAAGCTTTATTTGAATGTCTGTTGTCTACATAAGAATAGCTGCCCAGGGGGATTTGTCAAGATGGCTGCCAAATAAACTGATTTGTATGGTGGCACAACACAATGAAACAACGCATAGGACTAATTCTTTTGTATTGTGCTAATTTCGTTGTGTTGCGACTTGTTTACGTTGTATTGCGACTTGTTTCAATTATGTTGTGGCTTGTTTCTGTTGTGTTATGCTAATTTCGTTGTGTTGCGACTTGTTTACTTTGTGTTGTGCTAATTATATTGTGTTGTGGCTTGTTTATGTTCTATTGTGACTTGTTTCCATTGTGTTGCGGCTTGTTTCTGTTGTGTTGTGCTAAGTTCGTTGTGTTGCAGTTTGTTTCCGTTGTGTTGTGGAGATTTCCTTGTGTTGTGTACTACTGGGCCAACATTAGTCTCACGTAGCCAGACCTTCAGACTGACGGCTTAAGGTCTGGAATCCATGGCAGCTTTCATTGGCCTAGGCCCGCCCATGAGGCCGTTTGACCGACATGTCAAACAACCAATCACAGTTCATTTCGTTCATCGTCACATTTCGGGGTGTGGAAATGTCGCCACA